AGCTGGATAATGGCCACATGGGAGATTGTTCACCTCTCAAACACTGGTAGAAACACTGCCAGAAAAGAGTGCAGCATTCTTTAAATCACAAACCTCCTCGGGGCTGAGAAGGCATGGTAGATGAAGAAGTGACTAATGACAGCCTAGATCCTGGAGTAGGAAACAGAGAACTTGTAATGATATTCATCAGGAAAAGGACTGAAAAATCCTACTTAGCCTCAATAATCAGAAGATCCTGACTCATTACTCTGTCATGGTATAATAGACACGGGGTAGATTTAAACTGCAAGTCTTCTTATTAGCTCATCTAATTAACCCCTATGGTAATCCTACAGAAATGTGAACCCTTCAGTTATGGCATTTCATTCTCCCTAAAAATCTTACCCACGAGGGCAGTATGCATCACTGCTACAATTACTGCAAACTGACCGTACAGGTCATAGCCGGCTCTGCCCTTTTCTCATGGATTGGCTTGCCTTGGCTTGACCTCCTAGTTTGCCTTTCACCAAAGTGCAGATCTTAGCCTGCAAACAGCTCACTACAGTGGCTTCCAGTGTCTAGTGCAATGGCCACACAAATACAGAATGCAATTTACCCATCAACAAAATCCAAACAGGTAGGAGCTGCTACCACCTTTGCCTTCACCCAAACCACTGCATACAAACAACTTCAGACCAGTAACTTGGAAAAAACTTACTGATCCAGTCGCTTGCAGGCTAAGTACACCAGAGTGTAAATCCTGGTACTGACACAGTTTCTAACTTCTATTTGTGATTAAAGGATTCCAAGACTATTAAGATGCTTTATCCAGCCCAGCAATACAAGGGAGAATCTATGCAAGTCTGACTGTCTGGAATATCGAATGCTGTGGATGCTACTGTAGCTGTAAAGGAGGATAAGGTACATAAATCTGCTCAACTGAGCTGTTAGGGGCTTATACTTTATTCATTGCTCAAGGAAACTAGCAACCATGAGCAATGAGCAACTAATCAAATAGTGACTATCACAAGCACAAACACAAGACTTAGCTACCATCTGCATGAAAATAATCATAGGTGATAGCTTTTGTTCTTATTAGCACTGTCCATTACTCAACCACAGTCCATTTTCCAGTTCAATCAGATTTTTAAATAGCTTTCATTTCCGTGGCAATTGCTTGTTACTTCGACACAACTCCAACCTTCAGTGCATGCCTAGAGCTGCCCTCTGATGTCTGTATTTTACTGTGGTCAACTCAGAAGGCCCTAAAAGCATGATGATAAACACAGCTTTAAATGAGTTTCTACTTCAGATAAAAGTTTCGTGTTACCCAGCAAAATTCTTGATTGTTCCAAGAGGCTCACTCTGTCCTCCTCTGGGCAGTTCTACTGTAAGACTCTTCGCATGTACTGGCAACTCCTGCCAAGCTCCAATGAAGTCTCAGCCCAGAAAGAGGACTTAATGAGATTATAAAAGTCAATCCATAAATTAAAACATGAAACGGATGAGATGGATAAGTAAACTGGACGCTTCCTAAACCTGATACCTCAAAAAAAAAAAAAAAATCCATAGTGCTCAGGGGAAATTTCCTGTTAATCCTATATATCAGCATCTGCAAAAGCCAAGCCGTCCTCTGAGGGAGCCTCAGCTGGGAAACACTGCTCGCCCCAAGGTGCCATTATGCATGTACATCACTCAGGTGCAATTACGTACATCAAAACAGACATCCTGCCCAGACAACATGGTTAAGCAGAACAGTGCAATTCAAATGCAATACAGTAGCATCCTTCAAACAGACTATCCTACCACTCAGCATTTTCTTCAGCAGAGTGAAGCATAAATGAGGGTCTGATGATGTATTGTACTATGTATACCCTGAATGAAGGACTTGAACCTATACATACCAAATGTTACTGTGATCATTCAAAGGAACCCTTGATGATAAAGCACATTATAAATCATATAATGTACCCTTCTTCAGGGTTTGCTTTTCTTTTAAAGACATCACACCCTGGAGAGACCACTCTTTAAATGGAACTATTGATGACAGCTAAACAACAGCAAACATTATTTGCTACCAATACTCCAATTTTTTTCCAACTATTTTTTGCAAGCTTTAAAAGGCTGTACATTTTTACGCTACTCACACATCACCCTTTCATAGAGTTGTACAAAAAAGTCCTTCTGAACACAAATTCCATCTATCTCTGAAGAATGCCCCAGTAAGGCCTGGAACATTTCTAGTTTAATTGAAAAGGGATTTTTAACCAAACTTTCCTCTGTTAGGTCAGACTGCTGATGCCTGGCGCCCCTGCTTTCCACCTGACTGGGCTTTTTCTCTCCTCTTATAGATCTGTGTGCAATTTACTGGCCTCAAAGTCCTTTACCAATATATGTAAGTATATGAAATCTGCAAGAGGTCAGAATACATTTCACATTGTTAAATGTGAACCAGACAGTAACAGAACCTCCCTTATGAAGTATGTGGGGTTTGTATCACACACTGGTCTCTATTGCAAGCTTGACAGGATGACATTAAGATGTTTTCCAGCCACAGGTCCTGGTTTCCTTGCTCCGGGACAAGTTTGGCTCTTCGCCTACCCAAGTCATAAATTCCTCACCATACTGCATGTAAGTTTGTGCAGTCTGGGGATCCAAAACTCTAGGCTATATATGATTCGCTGGTTTTGCTCCCTTTCATCTTTCCCTGCTTTCCCAATATATTCCACTCGATTTTTACAGAACAAGAGGGTGAACTCAATTTTTCCCTAATAAATTCCAAATGTTTTCCATAACAATATGTGGCAGGAACTGACCATTACACATTTCATGGAATTTGGGGTTTTCTTCCAAAAGTAGTAATCTTCTTTATATTTTCTGACATAAGGGGCTCACTATCTCTTTAATAATGGAGAAGGGGAAGAAGGTGAAATCTAAAGTTCATTTTTGCATGATTCTCTGCTGTCTTGAACACATTGCCCCTGCCAAACCTTCAAGTGTTATCATCTCTCCTCCACATTTTTTTTTTCATCACCTCATTCCCAAGACAAGAAGATGAGAGACAACATCTACTGCTTGCCTTAGCCTCCCGCATATCTCCTCCCTAAAATGTCTCTCTCAACAAGGCTCCCTAGCTTTCAGAAGGTGAATGGACATACTGCTACAGCAAATTCATTTTGAACTTGCTTGAGTTGCTTCTTTGATCTTGAGACACATGAGAGTTTGGTGCCTGACAGTCACAGCTAGCCTGTCTGTTCTAGCAAGGTATTAACAAACCCACTGTGCCATCAAGGCTGCGATATACCTAAAAGCTTCTAGTGGGAAGTCCTCACAAGATAACCACCAACTGTCCCATACTTCTCTGTGTTTTGTGGTCACAGATGCAAGAGTTCTTCAGAACCTCTACTTACCTTTTCTCCCCGTGTTGATGGAGAGCTCACTGGGCATTTAAACAACTCATTTGGTGGAAGAATGACTCCACTGAAATCAATCACGTTCTGTATCTCTTGCTGCATTTCTAGCCCTCCTATCCGCAAGTTTCAGGATGCCTCTTTCAAACACCTCTTTTGCTGCTGGTTCCTCCTCATGATCCCTAGGAGGTTCCTCTACGTCTGAGCATGATCAATTCCACCTTGTTTCAGGGATTCCTCATTTGTTTTCCCTATTCTACCTTTTTCCCTACTGTTTTCCCCTATTCCACCATTTTAGCAGTGTTCCTGATTGTCCTTTACTAGCCTTTGCTGTCTAGAGCTTCTCTGATATGTTTGGGTGAGCATAAAACCAAAGCCCTAGTCAGTCAATCTACCTCCACAGCTTGATGGAGGAGGAAAACGCTCCCAACACTCTTAATTACCTCCAGAAGGGTCTGGTAAGTCCTCACTGTTAATTAAACTAAGAAATTGTTAGCTTCTTGTAGAGGGTGTTAGATCACTCCCAATTGCTGTGGTCTGTCTGCTCTCTTTCTGGTAGGCTAGCCCCTGCCACGTAGGCTAACAAGCGACTACAGCAACACTCTGTTTGTACAGCACGAAACAAAGTTTTGTCAATGAAGAGTGTTTAAAAAAGCCACAATTTAAACAACTAAGCTGACAGAAACACTAACATAGACAATGTTCCACCAAGAGCAAAATCATTTTACCAGCACATTTTATATCTCCTTGGGGACTGTCTCAAGCTTCAGCAGAAGAGAACTCCAGCCATTAAATCTTCATATCCTTTAGATATATAGTCAGCCTTTTCCGTAAGCAGACGAGTCTTATGTATTCTGTGCCTTCCTTGAGGAAGAACTTTCTAAGTTCTAATTCTACAAGTAATTTCTTTTTTCTGGAAGGAAGGGTTGCTTTGGTTATTAGTAATTTCCTTGCCAGTTGTGAAAAGGAAGCTTCCCTTTTCCATCAACTACATGTAAGCTTTAAAATAACAAATTTAGACAAGTTTGCTTACATGTTTTAAAATTTTACTGTACAGAGAGCACTATCCTTTTGTATCTCAGCAAGGCAAGTTGAACCCCATGGCAAGTGTGTAAGCAAAAAAAGCATTAGCTAACATATTTTAGAAACACCCTTTATTCTAGTCTCGACAGAGCTTAGAAGGTGTGACAGCATGCTGGGTTTCTGAGAAGTCAATCACCATCCTTATTCCTCCCTGTTTGAATTGGCTAGGTATTATTTCAGTTCTGTGATTCTGTATTTGATTTGTAAGTGTGTTCTAACAGAAACAGCACAGAACTTTGTATTAAAAAACCCTGCAAATTTAAGGGACAAGAGCAGAGATAATTTCAGCAGCTCTGTGCACATTATTCTCTATCTGAAAAATTGTCATTGTTCATGCATGAATAACCACAATTTTAGTTTATTTGAGAAATGTGGTGATGGGTGTCGTGTATTAAAGATTAGAATCTGGCCTTACATTCCCTTTCCCACCATCAGTTGTGTGCTAAGATTTTATTTTTTCTTAATTTAAAAATGTAAGAGAACAACAATCATTTCCTCTCTCTTTAAAATGAGAAGCAAACCAGGGATAAAGGGAAATTCTTTCTCATTCTGTAGAGATTCATGACAGCTAAAAAAACCCCTAATTCTCTAAGGAGAATGATTATCTCACAGACACAATGACAGAGAAGAATATTAGAAGTTTTCCCCAGAGTCACACATATTTGTCAATCTTTATTCCTCTTCATATTTAACTTAATTACCACAAACGGTGCTTATAACCCCTCCTTTCGTTACCACGAACATAGTCCAAGGAGGAACAGATGGCAACGCAACAGACTTCCTTGTCTTTTTTCATTTTCAGAATGCTATCCTACATGTCTGAATTTTTAGATTGATAATCCCACAGGCTACAGACTCTTGGTTATTAGAGATTTCAGATACTGTGAACTGTGAGTTTTCCATCTTGGTTTCTTCAGCTGTTTTGCTTCAACTCTGACCTAAATCATGCATCTATTCAAACCTTTACACTGCCGATCAAACTTCCCAGATAAAAACTACTGTATTGATTATAATGATTCCTTTTCACAAGGATCTAGACTCAAAATCACTATATTATTCCACAAACGATCAGGACAGGCCTGACCAGGCCTAGCAAAAATACTGCATTCTATTAGAAATCAACATGCCATAGTACTGCTGCTTCTCTTTCAAAACAAACTGAGGTATGACAATTTTAAGACTGCCACAGTTCCTCTGGAATCCCAATCAGCATCTTAATAACACTGGATTACCGTCCTCCCCACCCCCCTTTATTTTCCTTTTAAAAGAGCGGGAAGGAAAAAAGTATTCCAGCATGTGTGTAGCAATTGTGGTATGAGAAAGGTTACCTTATTTATACATTCTATCTTATCTCTAATTGATTCTACCATCTATTATCAGCAATAATCACTTCTTTTTTATGGTAACATCTAAGCAGCAAAATGAGGCTGTACCATTCCATATACTGTGCAAACACAATGTGCCAGACAACACCCTGCCCTACAAAGTCTGGCAGACAAACTCTAGCAGAGGCACAAGAGAAAATACTAGCCAGGGAAATCTTACCCTATCAATGATATTGAAGTTTTATATGTGCAACTGCTTTTTTTGCGTATTTGACTCCCATCACTTCAACAATTCATATTTTTCTTTGGCAATAAAATGTTATTTTAAAGGCACAGAAAAATCCATTTCCTCATCTGTAAATTGCACCACTTCCTGCTGTAAACAACTCAGGTACTGACAATACGCAGGTTTTGTTATAAACATCTTTTGGAAGGACCCTTTGATAGTTTCCAGGCTCAACTAACAAAGGCTCAGCTGACAGTTTTAGAGGACCTACATTAGCTGCAAGGTCTCGTGAGGCTTGACACTGACCTTTCTCTTCTTGGCATGCCAGAACCTGGATCAAATCTTTGCTATTCTGAATGATTTGGAGTAATTAAACAAAACCAAACCCACAGAAGCAGAACAGATGACCAGCATTCCAAAATGAAGGGCTTGAGTTACTTGAGGATACTACCCTCTTTTACTTTATTTACCTAAGTTACACTGATACACATTTATTTTCAAACAGCAATAACGAGAAGCACTCTCCATTCACTTTTGGAGGAGGGCTTTTTGTTGTTTTAAGTGCAGTGCACCAAACTTACGGCATCACTTTGAGGCTGCGAGATCACAACAGGCTGTCCTGAATCACACGTCTCCCGTATATTAACATGCAGTGGAATGTCTCCTGTACCAAAAATACCAAGATAATCATATGTGAAGATCTAATATTTCTTAAATGTTTCATTAAAATAGCCCCAAAGCAACTTGAAATCAAATTCCAGTTTGGTATATTCTTTGAATTACTTAATCTCAAGAAATCAGCACTTAAAATGAAAACTGGCATCTGTACATCCATAATGATTAGTGCCAAACATATTCTGGATTTTTCATTTTCTGAATAGGAAGGACTATGCCTTGTAGTCATTTATTAGAGAAGGCAGTTTGCTTTTTTTGCCTCAAATACACAGAAAAACACAGGCTGAGATACAAATTATTTTACCTACATAAAAAAAACCTGCTTGAGTGTTAGGCAAATGCTCATCCTGCAACTTACTGTTCAGCATCTCCTCACTGTATATTCTTTTCAGTGCTGTTTTAAGATTTTGCTCACTGTTCAGAGACTTCTTTGAATACATAATTTCCAAATAATATAATATTTTATTGTCTTATTAAGCCTTGGATCCAATTAAGAGGTAGATAACTATTCAGTTCACTCTTCTTTCCTATCAAAATCTTTATATTCTGCTTTTATAACTGTCAGAGAGGAAAGGAACACTCTAAAGGAGAATCAATTAGCAGCCCTATTCCATTCTGAAATACAGTTTTTCAGCACTGAAGAAAACATGAAGTTTCCATGTTTAGTTCATTGCTACATGGATAACTATGAAGTGAACCAAAGACCAACTTTCTTTTAATGGAAGATCCAGCTACATTTTACATCATAGATGGATGTAGACAGAACAGCCTACCTTAGTTCTTGACTGGTCTCAGAAACTGTATCAGTTTAATTCATACACTTCAGCAACATTTATTTAATCCAAACCAAGGACAGTGTAAATTACTGAAGTTTAATGTAGTCAGAAAAAGAAAAAAACATTTTTAAAAATGTATTAAAATTGACACAGCTTATGAGATAAAAAACCAGAACCAAAAGCAAGCAGGAATACAAACAAAAAACCAAACAAATAGCAAACACAAAAGCTGTGGCTCCATGATTAGTAAGTTGAATCTTTGAAGAACTGCAATTTGTTATTTACAGTGATCACAGCCCATTTCCTTCAAATGTAATTGTTTATTTGTTTCAGTCATGAGTAAATTTCTTTAGGCACAAAAGTCTGTTCATTTATTAATTAAAAAAATATTTAGGGAATCCTTTCAAAGTTTTTTTAACCTTAAACATTTTTCATGGAGTAATAGTAACTTCATAAGATTTATGAAGTTACTTCCTACCATTATTTTATGCAGAGACTAATCTTCACTTTTTTTTCTTTCCCCAAGGATGTTTTTTAATGAAAAAATACTTCTTCGCTATCAGCTCAATAACAAGCTCAGACAAAATGGCAGCCTCTCTCTTCCTTATACTTACAGAGATGTGCTGGTACTACAGAAGCATAACAGTACAAGTCAGAAGACAAAGCAAAATGCAGTCTTTTTTTTTAAAAAAAAAAAAACCAACCCAAAACATTATAAATTAAGCAGAAGCATAAAGACAGCAAAAGCATCTGCACAGCTGCTTGGATGAGAAAGAGCTTGAGGAAGATGAAGTTTTTGCACAATTCTTCACTACAGAATGTGATGGGAACTTGCCATCATACATTTTTCTGATACTAACAGTTATTGCTGACTGCAACGGAAGGGTAAGTGCTGAAAATAATTTCAATTTATTGCAGGAAGTAAAAACAACAAAGATCTTAAAAATCTGAGAGGCATTGTTGCTGGTTCTATCAGCAGATACAATTTAAAAAGTTAGGAAGTCCAACAGTCAGGCTGGAGTGTACAGAAATTGGTGTCTCAGTATTATGTATGTCGATGGTACAGCTTTCTAGTAACAGTTATGGTCACCAAACTTAAAAAAAAAAAAAAAAGAAAGCAAAATAGGGGAATCTCATGACAGGGAGAGAAACAATCAGCAGCACAAACTCTTTCTCACAAACTTTGCCATGCTTTCCTTTAGGGAACAATAAAAAGACAAGACTATCAGAAGTATATGGAATAATGAACTACACTCAAAGGTGTACTGGCAACTGCTAATTGTCTTCTGTCATAAACAAAAATAAAGGAGGCGTTCAGTAATACTAAAGGCAGCCGATTCTGAGCAAATAAAAGGAAAATACTTTTCTATCCTGCACATTGTTAGCTTGTAGAATTTGTCAGATGTTATCATGGAAACTAAAACCTTGTCAAGTTTCACAAGATGCTTAGGTGCTTAGTTGAACAAACAGAAGTTTGCACTGTGTGTTACAGAACACAAGCAAAATAAATTCAGAAATACTAATTTTAAATATCTACTTTATATATATATTAAAAAATAAAGAAAAGAAAATTCTCAAGGCCTTTGGGCAGAATTCAAATAACACTGTAATAAAACTTCCATTTGGGATAGATGAACGTAAAATCTGTAAGCGGTAATTCTTATAATACCATATGGTATTATTATATAATCGTCACCCCTAGAAGGAGGAGTGCACTAATCAGATCAAGTACTGTAATTCTAAATTTAACCCTTGGGGCATTATTCTTAATCTGGTCTTTCGCTGACAGTTTGAAGATAAACTTCACTCTTTTTCTTCATACATCTCATCCATCTCCTGCTAAACCTGTAAAATCTCTCACATCACTCCTAATTAAATACAATTACAATCAGTTCTGCCCTCTTAGGGAATAACAAAAACCACCTATGGGACCAACAGCTCGGCACATCATTTGTGCCTGTGTATCTAAATTCATGTTTGATTCAACTGCTTGCAGAGGATTTGCATCCATCCACATAACCCAGGGCTGTAGGAGTCCCCTTGGGCTCTGATCACAACTCATTATATATTCAGAAAACTAAAAGATAGCCCAAAAGCATGTCTTTAATTATGTGTTGCCTTGCTATCTTAAGTCTATGTCAGACCTTGATGTTTCTGTGTTGATCTTTCTAAGTGAGCTTCCTGGTTCTTTTTAATGAAATTGCTATGGAAAATCATTGAGATAATTATAGTAATACATGGAAACACATCATTAGCACATGCAATTATCCCATTTACCAACTTAATTATGCTGTGTTATATTCTGTAATTTTTTTTTACTGACAGCACAGGTTGAAATATGCCTTTTTAAAAAGGCAATGTATATTTTAAAGATCAATGTATATTTTAGCTTACAGGCATGACAGATTGTTTAATCATGGTTAAATTTTGTTTTCTATAAATTTTCTTTTGAAACATTTTGCAATTCAGCGTATTCTTTTGATCTCAACACTTAAGTACAATCATTACAGTCTGTTTGCTTCCATATAGGAGTCAAGATATCTCCATAGAGCCATAAAAACAACTGCATTAAGGGACTGCATTTCAAATTACCATATTCATTTCAATATATAACAACTCATTTCATTTAAATAAATGAGAAAACTTCTATTGACATTACTGGACAGAGTTTAGGTCTATTTACAAGACCAAACAGAATTCTTGGTTATTTGTAAAAATTATTGTATGATCAATAACATAATTAATTTCAGGCAATAGAACACTTGGATATCAAAACAATTCATGTTCTGGATTGTTTATAAATCAAAAGAGATTTACGATACAATTCAAGAATTTTCACATCCAGTCCACATTCCATTTACAAGAATGATCTTGATAATGAACAGAGCATACAAAAACTGTGACATTCAACTACTTAAATTATTAGTTCTATTATATCTGAACACTGTGTGAATATAGAGTAATCTAGGATTATGCAGTTCCATACTTCAGTTCATGCTTCCCTCACACACGCTATTACATTTTTCTACAAAAATAAAACCACTTCTATATCCTTACCTAGAATATCCAATCCAAGGGTTTTTGCTAAATCTCTTACACCATCAGCTCCGAAAATGTGTGTCTCGTGCTTACATTTGGGACACTGGAAAACACTCATATTTTGAACCAGTCCTAAAACCTGTTAAAGTAAAAGAAAGGAATGTTCAAACCTTGGATTCAAGCATCAGTATTTCCATTATTCATCTCTGACAGTAAAGAAGAGATTATCAACATAAAATCGACGGAGTACTCATTTATAATAAGAAGCAGCTGTAATATCAGACTCATTATCATTATCAGCTCGTATGAGACGTCTCAGTTGCACTATTATTTGTGCATTACTTCAAGTTTTTCACATTTATACCTCTCAAAGATTAACAATTTTTTTCATAACAAAAAGTACCTCTTGTGCAGGCCTATCTTTCCAAGAATTCTCCCTGCCAGTATTGCGTTTTTTAACTCTGAATACTGGAAGAATTTTTGCGTTGTGTTTTATAGCTTTGTAATTTGCAGTTTCAGGAAACACAAAATAAAAACATACCATTACAAGAAATGACACAATCAGACATGCTTTTAAGATATTTTCGTAAGTTATCCTGTAGGGAGATGTTTTCAAAAAGAACCAGATTTGCTATTCTTCTGAAGAGCAGAAACATGTTTTAAAGATCAAACAAAAGAAATAATTACGTGAAACTAAGTGGCAAAAACCACAGCACAGAAGTCTAATACACACAAATTTGGTACCTTTCTGCTGATGCCAGGTGTTCAACATTATCCTTGCAAAATATGTCAAAATGAAAATTTGCTAAATCATGCACAACAAAAATAATCTTTCACCATGTACAATAATGCTAATGATAATATTGATCTCATTTTATTCACCTGGTATACAAAACTGTTCATTGGGGCAGAGACTTTCTCAAAAGTGATGAAAACAGCATTCAAATACTACAGGGTGAAAGCTTCTACCCATCTCCTAATCAAGAGAAGACTTGCTTTAAGAGGTTCCATGTTACAATATTTTACTTTAAGATTTATATGTTATCTAGATACGTCACACACACTATAGACTAGTTTTACAAATGTGAATATGTATCTTCAAGTACAAAAAGCTGTTATTGACTTTGTAGCATTTTGTACTTTTAAATTTCCCTGAGCATTCTAGTTTTGTGCTGGAACAAGCTGGCCTAGTTATTACAGGAGTAACATATCCACTATGCTAATGAGACAACTAAAAGGATATCCCAGTGTTCAATGCAACCAAGAAATATTAAGTTATTTAATTAGAAGTGAATGTACAACTTTTGGCACCAAAACTGAAAATAAAAAAGCATGTTATTTACAATACCTTAATAAAAAACTCCTTATAACTAAGCTAAAAACAATCAAAAGATAATCAGCTGTTTTTTCTATATCACCATAATGCACTTCACACTAAGAAATCTTCCTTTACTTATATAAAACTTTCAGAGGGTTTAAAGCAAGGAACATTTTAAGAAACAGTAACAAAACAAAACAACAACAACAAAAAGATTGCCTACTTTCAATTTAACACCACAAACTTTCCGGATTTTCTACTCTCTCCTGGGGACTGCCAGAGGAGCAAGAGGAACAAGTTTCTATTTACTGGCACATTATTACAGGCAATTTTCTCATACAGTTCTCAAATGAAGAGAGACATAAAATACTACATGTCCAAGTGTACAAGGTGCAGGGATGGTAAAAAGGGCTTTCTACAGCCACAGTCCTCTACTGATGACCTCTGAGCAGGCATTCATCCTGCTCTCCTTAAATTAAAGTTATGGAATTTTCACTATGTTGATAAACTGGAGAATACTGGAAGGATTATTATTTCACAAAAGAAAAACAGTATTTTAACTAGGATACAGGGAAGCCGTTTTCTGCAGCACAGGGAAAAAAGAGAACTTGACATTTATACTTTAAATTAATTAATCCATCTTCAGGTATCTGGGGGTTTGAACTTTATGTTCTCCTCAAAGTAGTCCTACAACATTTATGATTCGGCAAATTCACAATCAAAGAAAAATTTATGTAGTCTACTATTGTTTTGTGACTAGTTAAGAACTATTACAGCTGTTTTGTTAATTGTTTGATAACCTAAAAACTAAGAAGTCCTTCTACCACAGTTAATGCAAATGCTGAGATATGCTATATCCCCAGTGCTGCATCAGTTTTGGAGGTCTTATTCACTACACTTTTTTGTTTTCACTTCAACAGATCTTACTAAAAACAAACGACATTTCCGCATACAAAACCATTTTTGGTTTTTCAGTGTTGCTACTATTTGTCAGCCAATGAGTACTACATAGTTTTTAATATATAAATTATTCTTCTGGAATATGAAAAGGGGTTTTTTTAATATTAAGTTTCCAATTACAAACACCCAGTTTAATACAGAATCTGTGCAAACATACACAACTTTAGTGCCGAAGTGTATTTTTAACATGCATATTTCTGCAGACACATTTACAGGAGGAAGAGAGTCCACTATGATCTTCAGAGCTTTTAAATCTACAAAGCAATAGGTCTTGCTAATGAAGTCAGTAACAACTCTCATTTCCATGTTCAAATAATAGATCTGGAAAAGCTTCAAAGCAGCTGTTACTGTCTCCACAAACTATCCCACAAGTATATGTGAATTGTCTTCTACTCCTTAGTGAGCTCCTTTCCCTGTACACTTCTCAGCAATCTTGGCTCGCTGATGACAAGAAAACTAGTATGATGAGCTGCACCGCAATACAGGAGCTAACCTATGGTAGCGGAGGAGAGGGCAGTTATAATGCACAGAACTTAATTTCATTTAGTCAAACAGTTATTTTAAACAGTGAAGAAACATCTATCAAGAAAAAACAAGAAATGAAGAAACCTTTCATTACGAATTACCTGCACACACACTGTTTCTGAATGTTTATATATTTCTTATGCTTAATTAACCTTTTGGTTACACAACAGTTCATGCCAAAATCCAAATATACTACCTTCTAAGTTAAAAGAAAATGCAGTGAGGAAACAAAAGCCCTCTGTCTTTACACAAGGAGACAATTCCTGAGAAATCCACTTAAGTAATTCCCTGCACTTAAGGATGGATGCCGCTGAGGTCTGACTCCAGTCTGACAAGGGCTGAAGTGATCAGGGTTACAGTCCTGCAGTCTTGCCATTGACTTCCTACGTAACCACCAGTCAGTCAGTTTTAGTGTTTCAAGTAAACGTGCACAGTAATATTTCTGTCTTCCTAAATTTCATCTTGTAACAAACAATTTTTGGCTCTAAATTCCACTCCCAATATGAAGTCTTGGCTAAGTACTCTGGATGCTACAGAAATACCAGTAAGTACATAGCCAAATAAACAATTTTAGTCCATCTCAGAAAGAAATACATAGCTGAGTTTACACAAGCTTTTTTTTTTTTTAAACCTGTGAAAACCATAGCATAATCTTCCAATTCAAGGAAACTACCAGAAAAGTTGCAGTTTTAACTAAAACCCCGTCTTTTTCTTTCAGGAATATGACTGATAAGATAAACCATACTGAACTGAACTCAACTTTAGCAGGTGAAAATCGGCATTTTTTTTCCTAAATACTCAACGTTACTGACTTTTTTTTGTCACTTGCCCAGAGCAAGCCTCTGGGCTGCACAAAAATGATGGTCAAACTCACATAATGGGAAAGAATCTTGAAACTTCTTGTGATAGGAGTCAGCATCACTTTGCAAACTCCTTCCTTACCAGGTGTATTCCACTGCACCAGAGATGGCACTCCACTTCTAATGATTATCTCCTAAGACTGAAAATAAGACTTTTGCATTGTAATCCTGGTTCCAACGCTGACTCTCACTGCCAGCTCTTCACCAGTTCCTACAGTCATTCTACTCTAAATTCAATGCAGTAAAGGACAAACAATGTCAACAATTGTGACTTTACTGTGATAACACTGTATGTGTCATTTGAGCCTTTGGTAACTAATGGGGTGAGGGGAAGGTGGTGCATGTGTATGCCTACATGGACAAGGGAGGGACTCCAGTTCATTAAATATAAGCAAGCATACTCAAAGACTCTGAGCTCAGCAACCTATAGACTCTTTGCTTCTTTGAAAAGCCAACTTGTTGCAAGCACTTTTTCAAAGGTCAGATTAAAGATTTTTTAAGATTAGATTTTTAAAGATCGGTCAATTTTATAATCAGGATATGCAATTTTAGCACAATCCCACAGATTCCACCTCATTGATGTAAACCTCGGGTTTGAAGTTGTCCATCAAAAATTACATAACTAAACTTTCCTTAGATCCTCAGATTTAGCTGACACTTTGAAATGTAACACATGGGCAGGAGCTGCTTTAAGACACATCTATACTGAGGTACACACAGGGTTGGAATAAAATGAAGCAGCACCATAAAAAAGGTAAGACCTGATGACTGGTTCAAGTGTATTCAAACTCAGCATCTGGCATGACAGCTTCATTGTGACTTTTCATTTGATTTAGGAAGATCAGAAAATTCAACAAATCAAAACAGATTCATATTTAATATCTTATCTACCACTAGTCAAAGTAATAGCAGCCAAGCCTATCCTAGAACGCATGATTTCGAGGCCATTCTCTTCAAAGAACATTGAACAAAACAGAAGAAATCTTGATAATTTCTCATTGAATCAAAAGGAAATTTTAGCAAAGTACTAACTTGAACACAATTTTATTTGAAGAAAATAATTTTGCATAATTTTAGCAGACCCAAACATAAAATCAAAATGAAACGTTCCCTATGTTATTCTTCTGTTATATATATATATATATATATTTGTTTTTCTTCTAGTGGCAAATGATAAATGCTACTACACTTTTATTTAGGTGCAAATATGCTTAAGGAATAGTGAACAATAAGGAATTTATCAATGTATTTCTTTTGTTAAGCTATTCTGTAATTTAAAACAAAAAGGGAAAGCAGTCACTTCAAGGTTTCTGTTGCATTTTTTAAATTAACAAAGCACTAGCTATGAAAGAAATTTCCTTTCTTAATAAAGAACAGAAGTAAGCTTCACACACGTAAGCAAGAAAACATCTTTTTTCAAGTATAGTAAACAGCTTTTTTTCTTTATTGTTTAAGATAAGGAAGCATTTCAGTTTATATTTTCTCATCAACTGCACATTTCAAATGAAAAATGAATCTTTCCACGAACATACTCTAGAGTATAACATTCAGTTACTTAGCAACTCGTAACAGACACAGAAAATACCGAGTCAAAGATGTCACCCTGTTTAATATTTTCTCCCAATTCATATGAATATTGTGGATATTTTTAAATTTTGCATTTCCCAAACAAGCAAGCTACCATATAAGCTATAAACCTCATGAAAACCAAAGTGATATAGACATCCTTCTACGGGTCAAGACAGTCACGGACCCCTTCAAATGGCAAAGTGACAATTATGTACATGTGTGCCTCTCTCCCCAAAACCTGAAGTTCCTCCGATTTTTTCACATTTCAATAAATTTTAGATTTTAAGCTCCAACACACACAGTGCTGAAAAGGACAAATAATGAGGATATAGTAAGACAGTATAATGGGAAAGGACACATTACTTCATAAGATGCTCTGTTTAGCTGTCTGATCCATTACAGGTGATTAAACAAACTGATGTAAAAGAAATCAAGTACTATTATGACCTCAGCCTCAAACAATTCTTTCATTTCTGTTAAAGCAAGCTCCTGATAGATATAATCCTCTTTTTTTGTAACAAAAAATTATGAAATTCAAGTAACTCCTGAATGGTTTGTTCAACTATTGAAGCATATGGATTTTTTTTTTTTACATTTTGGAAAAACAATCTACTGGTATTTTTAAAGTAGAGGCTTACAGGTACGTGGACTTTTCTAAACATTTCAGCTCCTTTGCGTGCATCCAATAAAGCCACATCTTGAGGAGTAGAGATGATCACAGCTCCTGGCAAAACAAAACATGAAATACCATTAAAATGGGCATTATTAATTACACTGTTAAATATTCTGACTACTTAGTACATGCTACTAAATTCAAAGTAGTCACACATCTATATGTTTTTTGGTTTTTTTAAGGAAGAAAATAATCCAAGTTTTTTTCTATTGTGCAATGACCAAAATCATTGAGAAATGATAGAAACAACTTAGATATTTTAATCATAAGTTTTTCTATGTAGAAACTATTTATACTTTCTAAATAAGAAAATTGATCTAGCTGTCATATGACCATGGAAGACACCACGGCCCACATGTTGACAGGTTGCAGAGGCGGTGCTCTGGGAACATCTACGCAGTAACTGTCCCATGCCATAATTACATCTGAAAGCTTTTGATTTAACAATAAGCCTTGTCCTAAAGGCAAGAGGCAGCTGCCTGTAATCAGACTGTTGCTTTCTGAACCTGCTACACTTTCTGACACAAGCGTTGACAGGCATCGTCTTGAAACACCTTACACTAGACACAACACCAGCGCGTTTGTATGAATGATGCCACAAAATAAGAGGCCAACTCACGCACACTCGCACTGGGTTTGAAAAAAAATACAGCATTGCTCACTGTTCAGGCATGGCTCCACATTACCTGGTAATTAGTACTCCCAAGTGTTACTAAGCATATAAAACTGATAGAGCTCTTTGTCAAAGGTTAGATTCTAAAGTAAGCCTACAGGTTACTATCCTACGCTATCCTATATTACTTCTTGATTAATATAGCCTGCAAAACCAATACAGACATTACAATATCCCACAAGACTTCACAAGGAGCATCTTTTGGCATATGGTCAGAGGTGTGACATATTATTTCTTCGAGACTTGCACCAAGAACCTGCTCATGCTCATCCCTATTTTAGAAAATTAGAATGTAGAAGAGGACATTACTGGTCAATTCATTAGCTCTGGTTCCACAGCAACCATCCAGCCTCCAAAGTATCTGTTACAAAAACATCTCTGCAGAGTCACATTAAGCCAACCTCGTACATTATGCCAAACTTCACACTAATAGCAATTACAACAGACAATTTTAGATGCATGGGGCAGAGTTTCCTCCTGGGCCTGCAGTTTCCAGCCACTGGCATACATGGCAAAGGAAGAGGTGGGTATATTTCCAAAGGCACACAACACTGGCATCACTGGCACGGTCGGAGCACCGAGAGCCTTGGTGTCCTGAGAGCACTCCCGGCTCTGGCAGCGCCAAGACAGGGAGCTTTGCCCCTCAAAACGGTCCCACGCCGGCTGCTGGGTGGCATCTTGCCTGCCTGACAGCCAGCCGTTTCCAAACACCGCCTGACAGCGCGTTTGAATGTTTTCAACCAGCGTTCTTAACCTCTAATTTGTGAAAGAAAAATACAATCTGGCACCTCGCTCCTGAAAAGCTGCCAATCTCTGCCTTACGTAATATTAGACACCAGTCCAAAAGCTGAACAGCACATGTAATGTACTAAGCAAATGCAATTTCCCTATTGTTTGCTGAAACTCTGACATCTGAATAATTTGCTGCTTTTCCCAAGCCAACCTGTTTCCAAAGTCATCAAAAAGAGTAACATGGAAGCCTTTCAGTTACATGCAAGTCACCTTAGCTCCTCCTTTCCCAAAGTGTAGGGTTAGGCTTTACAGCCGACACTGAAATGTAGGGCTAATTCCACAAAACCCTTCCCCAAAAGTGCAGTCCACAAGTAAGTAATTTAGACTCAATGCCCTTGAGTTCTCTGCATATTTGTAAAACAAAGATCCTTCAACACTTGGACAAAATGCTTATTACTGCTTTCTTTTCAAACAAAACTAGAAATCTGTGTCTTATGTGTATACAGCCATGTTAGCTGTTTCACACTTTTGTTCACACTCTTCTCTAAAGATGCTGGCTCAGCATTGCCTGCATCTTCAGGCAGAAGCTAATATGCAAGTCTACATTTGCTGCTCTGTTTTTAATTTTTTTTTAAGAATCCAATAATTAGCATGGCATGAAGGACAGAGACCATGCACAATGAAAACACCCACTAGAACCACAAGCAGCTTATCCAAACAGTCTTTTTGACTAACAAATTCTCATACAAAGGGAAAAAGCTAAAATGCCAAAAAACCCCAATGGCACATTGCAGAGTTTAGGCTGCCACAAACACCAACTCCCTGTATGAAAAACAATGGCTTCTGAAATACCTGAGTTAAAGTTATGCTTGTGGACAACTTGCATGGCTTCCTACACAGCATGAAAGCCAACATGCTCAAGAAGCTGCTGCCGAGAGTGTAATAGATGTGTCTCTCCTATTTTCCTTGTCACTCTGAGTTGGATTACAAACATTTATTCACAGTCAGCTTGTACTGACTTATACCAACGCCCTTTAAAATAAGTATATTTTCTCTTTCTTTGGTACAACTGCTAGTCCAGCAAACCCAACCTGAAGTTCAAGAATTCAAATTAGCAGCATTGTTTCCTTCACTAGCAACTGAATATGGCAAATGAGACTTTTCACAATGCTCCTGTCCTGCAGGTAAGTTTGCATATGTTTAATTCAGAAGGTGATTCAAATGATGAGCAAGAAAGAACACAGCCCACACTTTCCTTGCCATCTTGGCTCTACACGATTAACAGGAATATCAAACAGTAAAGTTATTTTGATCAATAAAGTAAGGAAATACGACTGAATTCATGCACACAGCACGTCTCTTGAAGCAATATGTGCTGTGTTTACACAAGCCTCTGTCTGAGTGAGGGAAACTAAGGCTGACAAATTGAACAGAGAAGCTGCAGAAACGATAATGTTATCACATTGCACATTAAAACATACTACAAATTTTCTGTTTGCAGTTGTGTGCAGAAGAATAATTTCCATGCCTTGAGCATACTAAGGATATCTAAGTTGAGCACATTTAGGTTTAACTGACATATCTACTTATTCATGCATTCCATTTATTTTTTTAACTTCACCATATTTATTTCAGGTTGACAAAAAGCTGATGCATGTTGTATTATTAAAAACTATACTAACTATATTTTTCATCCTTATCGTGCATAATATAGAGAGACAGAACTAACAGTAGCCTGTAACACTGATGTTTGCCTTTCTTTTTCAAACCCAGGTCTTTAATCCTCAGTAAAAGAAAGCTGTGCCTACACCACACATTGGTACTCACCTTCTGGTGGACTGGTGTTCAGGAAACTACACGAGGTGAAACAGTCTATCATTTCTGTGTATAGAAAATATCACCTATAATCACTGCATCATGGTTTGCCTTAGGTGCTCTGAGTATCTAAGGTGGAAGCTCTCCAAGCCTTAGCTATAGTCAGTTTGTACCCAGGCAAAAAACAGGCAGGTCTAAAAAGTGACTGATAAGCAGCAGTTTAGAAGATCTACCTTAGGATGAAAAGGACCCCTCTAACATATTCCTTTTTTCCCTCCAGTGTCTTCAAAGATAGGCTTCAGAACCAGGCTACATACATCTCATCCAGAGAGATTAAGGACTCCTCTACACACAAGTACTAGACTGTGCCTTATATCACCCTGATTCTCACCATAAAGACACAGAAAGACATACAGCATTTTTCTAATAACTGCACCTGCTGACTGACAGGCACTGAACGCTCTTGCAAGGAAGCACATTCAGGCCTCAGTGCAGCTGTGGATGGCCTGATCTGACCACACCACTCATGCACTCTTCGGAGCTTTTGCTGCCTTTTCCACTGCATCAATCTCAAATTTCTAGGCAAGACTTTCAAGAATCTTCTCTACTGTGGATCTCTTCAGAATCCCTCTCATCTTCTGTTAAATTTCTTGTTCCTTCATAGGTAAAATGTGCCTGCAATTACAGACACAGTTTGCACTTGAAGATGCAAAACAAGATCTCGCAAGAACAAAGACTTCAGTCTTTACTAGGATTTCAGCTGGCAATGACTGCAGATACATTAACATTAAAAATTTCTCCATCTCCTTGGATAAACCTTGTAAAGAAGTTCCTTTAGATTTTGTGTGTGACATCTCATTAGAACTAGCAACTTAAAAGAATCACTAGTATGATTTCCCCTGAAGAGATCCTTACTTGAGAATCATAATACAGCTCAGAACTTTCCCAAAGGTTGGATTCTGGCTGTGTCACACCTCCAGCCTGCTTGCTACGTTCTTCTTGGAGGAGTCTTTGAACAACTGCTCAGACAGTGTATGTTTCCAAGAGCCACATATCCTCTTCTGCCCACAAACTAGTAGGTAATTAAAGATTGGGACACTACCACCTTGCTCACATGAAAAGAGGACATAAATCTTAGAGTAAGCTTCTTCCTCCTGTCAAGAGGAACTGTCAGTGAAACCACTAAGCTGAAGAATATCACAAGCTGGATAAAGCTGTCACCCTGAAGTTAAACTGCCCTCATCTAACTGATCAGTAAGTACTGTAACATCCATTTAACACTAGATCACATGGAGAAAGACATGGAAAGACAACTCTTGCTGCGTTAAAATGCTTAGGTTTGGTTGTGGCAAACTGAATACGTCACACTGATGCAATTTACAATGCAACATTTATTTAGCAAAGTGAAAACATTGAAAACATCTGTAATAGCATCTGTGACCAAGCCTTATTTGCAAAGTATGAGGATAAAATAAAAAGCTACTCCCTCATAGACACTTTGTCACTTTCCACTTTTCCTTAGCTATTTGAATTAGCATTTTTCTGCCCTACTCCATTCCACCTTCTGCTTTCAAGAGCAGTTGCCAATCATGTCCAGTTTATAACGAGCATTGTACTAGGCAAGAGCCAAGTCTAGATAGTCTCTTTTGACAAATGAATATGATTTTTTTTTTTTTAAATGAGAGGTCCTAATCCAAAAAGGAGAACTAGGTAAAAGAGTGATTCTGCTGCAGAAAAAAAGACAACATCCACTTCAAACACCCCCAAAAACTATTTTGTTTTTTACCTTCTGCCCCCCAGAGGTGGGGGTGGTAAGGGGCAGATTTAAACA